CCGACACGTCGCCGATTTAATGCTTGTAGTATCGGGTTTAATTCGCGGCCTCTCAAAATATTAGCGCAACAGGTATCGGTCGAACGGACACGAGAGTACGGTCGATTATCGTTTCACAGGCAGACGGGCTCACCGCGAGCGGGCGCGTAGCTCTCGATCGTTACACGCTGTTGTCCGACAAGAAGGGATCGTTTTGTTTCCAAGTGGGTGAGTTCTTAGCACCACCGGGGTCGCTATAACTCTTTCGTTACCATGCCGCGGTTATCAGGCTCGCATATTTTATGGAAGCGTTAACACTTGTCTCAAACGAGGCGCTGTAATTGGATGCTGTTATTTCGCCGTGGCAGCGGTGCGCGCCGCTGTAAATCGCGCCTGACAGGATGCGAGCTTCGCGAGATAGATTCCCAACGCGAGCGACAGCTGCGCATCGGCCGCGATTCAAGACTGATTGTTACTAAATTAACTCTATGAGGTACGATGCTGTGTGCGAGGAACGTTTCTTCGAGAATTTGCCACAACCATTTGGCTATTTAACTAGAATTATAATTTAAAATTAAGAAAAAAGTTCAAGCTAAAATTGAAGTGTACGAAGTTCATAATACGCACCTTTGCTTAATTCATACCGCTTTCTATAGAATTAATCGGTCGGTGAAAAGGAAATAAAAAATATTTTCTATTATTTTGGAGCTACAATTGAGTGTAATATAAGTACGGACGTTAAATGAAAGTTTTTTCTCAAAATAGGTTTATACCTTTTTAAATATCTTTACCACCTTATTGTTACGTTTTGTGTATCTACATCGGAAAGGTCTCTCGTTAAGAGTTTATATAACGTGTAAACGTTCGGCACTTTCAGGTGAATTATTGCCGTGATAAAAAGAAAGGATGGTGACAAAAGGAAACCTAGTTGAACCTTGAAAAGCGCATCGAAAACACCTTCGCAGCAGAACACTTTTCTATGGGCAGTAAAGATAAGTCGAAAGGGATCCCATAGATGACGCACATCCGTGAAATGCAACGAGAATTAAGATTTACAGCCAGTCGTATAACCATTGTGGCCCGGGCGTTGCTATAGCGCACAAATATGTACGTAACTAGAGTCAAGACGGCTTCAAGACGTCTCTGCGACTGTGACTAAACATAATATACCTTGTTGGCCCTTACGTGGTTATAAATATTTATCGACGACGAAGGAGTTGGCGTAGCGCGAGCTCCATGTGCATTTTATTTACTCTGCGGCATGTTGCAGGCGTGTCTCGATTTACGGCTGCGAGCGGTAAATAAACTGGTCACTTAGTTGTCCACTTTGATTCCTTTGAGTCAAGGATTCTGCTAGAACGCCAGGGCGTGTCCGCGTCATTGCCGAATCATCCTTACAGGATTCTGTAGAATACCTAATTGTACTCTCGTATTAATCGTATAAAATATTCGCAATGATGTCGGCAAAAATTCCACACCGACGCATTCCAGATCGCCTCGGACTTAAAAATCCTGGCGAAATCCGTAGAATATTGACGCGTCGACCTTCACGGGAATGTCGTTACGACGCACCGGCGATAATATATACGAAACAAGTTACGATTCTCGCAAAATCGGATGTCCCCGATGGAGAGGCATCGATGCGGCAAGGGTAGAAAAAGAAATCATTTCCCGAGGTTGGGCAGGCAGGCAGGTAGACAGGCAGGCAAACCCGGCATCGTAACGCTCGGTAGGCCCTTAAAACAGCGCTTATTGATTTATTTTACGAGGATCGTAAACCCGATCGGTCCGATGACCGTTGTGCCCGATGAACTCCGTTCGTCAACGTTCTCGATCGTTCTCGCCGGTGAGAAATAAAGAAGAAAAGAAAGAGAAAAAAACGGTAGCAGGGGGCAGGAGGGTGGTAGAGCGAAGTGATCGGGGGGGGAAGGAAGGGAAAAGGAAACTCGTTCGAAAAGTGCGGCCGCTCTCTCTCACGACAAGTCCGGGAGATATATTGTCGCGCGTATATTTACGAGGAGCCGGAGTTATAAATCACGAGTTCGTCTGCTTACGCGAGTCCGGCCGGCTCGGGACGGACCACGCACGTACACTCGCGCACGTGTGCTAGGCGTCCACGAGCGCGCATCCTCCCGCGTCGGTACACACGTACCGTTAGCACTCGGCCGACGTCGGCGTAATGGTTTTTCGATAATTGTGTAACTGTTTCACATCGCTGCCCGGTGAAACACGGCGCCGTAAACGCTTTAGAGCCTTTAACGACCGGGGTCTCTCCGCGGCCGCCGGGCGCGAATCCTCTTCTTTATTCTCCCCCGCTCGCCCCGACGGCCCCTATAGCGCGGAGGATTTCTCCGTTTCGCTCCTTTCGTTGTGACGCGACGCGTGCGCGGAATGAGAGCCACCTCGGCACGCTCTCGCGAATGCGCCGCGTGACGTCTTCTTCACATCAGCGGCCCGCGTGCGAGAGGAGCGCGTCTCACGCGACGCTTCTCGAGATTAGCGCCTTCGGCGAGCGAGGGTCGCTTAGACACGCGCGGAGGTACGCGTGCGGTGATGCGCTTGTAATTTTCAAGTTCGGCGCCGGTAACGTTCGCGTATGTGCCACTAACGCGAGTTTCCACATTTTCGCGTACCTACATGCAATTTGCGTAATCGATTTATTCGCATAGACGCATTTGCAAGTCTACATTCGCGATCATTATAGTATTCATTCGGCATCTCTGAGCCACGTAAATGCACTCGCTGAAAGAAAAGTCACGATCTGGCGCTATCTCGACAATTAATTTGAAAAATAACTCACGATAATAGCACGCACTAAGGTAAAATAATGTATAAAAAAAGAATTATCTTGTTTTAACTATTGTAACCGCAGAAATCATTATAATAGAAATTCAATCCGTTGACTGCGTTGCATTATTGTATGATACAATATTGTATCGATTGTAACGTTAAATAACATATCAAACACAATTGCCGAAAGGGTCCAACGCGATCACGCGAAATATATGGAAGCGTGCGGTTAAAGGATGCCACGAACAAATTAATTTAATTGCACCCGGGCGATGGCTTTTGGCGGCCGAAAGCACACAGCGAATATATATATTGCGAAAGAATCATTTGGCAAGTAGAACGAGTTCCTTTGAAGATGGCCGTGGACCGTCAAGATCAAAAGGCACGTCGTGCGGCACGGTCAGAGGTACATGTTTTATCTCTACGTTGTACCATCTTAACTTCTCCACGTTCTCGAGAAGCGCGCGCGGCACTTTACGACTCCCATGGACTCTAGGCGGTTCAAGGACTTTCTCGACCGGGCAGAAGTGTCCTACATGCTGACTCTGGTTTTCCCAAAAAGCCCTCGTCGCAAGATTCTGCGATTTCTCTCACCCTCGCCGAGGTCTTTTGAAGTCGTTTGGTTAGCCCAGACATCGCGCTGGGCGAGGCAAGATGGAAGTTATTGAATCGGTGGATTGCATCAAGTTTCTTTGCGTTTAACCTTTCAGCCTTTTCAAAGGCCTTTTTACTCGTTTTATCTCTAAAAATATCACGGAGCATCTTCTAAGATTAAAAAATCGAAGATTCGAACAGCGCGCTTTCTTGTTAAACAACGAAAATACGATTGCGCTGGTATTCTGTCAGCTGGAGCAGCAAAATAGTTTGGAAGATTTATGACTTAGATTGCGCAAGATAACGCAATTACCAAGTGCAGGGCATGAATTGCGTCAGTATATTTACAAATGTATCAATAACAAAATCTTGCGGAAGTTTCTCAACGATACCATCACGTATTATATTACTAGTGCAGCAAAGTGCAAATGGTAGTTAATTAATTCCGAGCGCAACTCTTGGTCATATTCCAACGAGCTTCTTAGCATTTCGCCTTTGTTAATGAAGAAGAAACGATTTATTAGTTATGTTGTACTTCTTGAATCTTCCGGCACGAAAGTGTACTTTATTAATGACCGACTTACTTTTATTAATGGCTCACGTGCGCTCACGGTTAGTAGAAAATGTATTTTAGGTTACAAATTAACATTTCTTCCCCGTTGTGCAATTAGGTTCGGCTTCAACAACTAGCAGAGATGTCATGGTGTTTGGAGAGCGCGCCAGCTCTTAATAAAGGACATCGAAGAGGTGGACGTGCGAGGTATGCCACGCTCGAGAAATCAAACGTCAATTCGGGACACAATACTTGGGGCAAACTAGATCGATTCTCAAGCGTCTCGGCAACACTTCGTCTACGCCGCGCGTAGTAATATTGCTGCCTCAACTTTTAGTTTCTGACGTGATCCCGTGCGAATTCCGCACACGGATTTCCATTTCGCCGTTGTAGCGCTCGCAGTGCGTGATGGGAATAAGGAACACTGATATGGTTAGCGCCGCAAATGGCGCCGCTGTCTGATTGATCGAGAATCAAACGGCCAATTTGCTACTTTTACCTCGCGCGAAGTCTCGTTCTCGCCGACGTCGCCCGTAACTTTCTCCAGGAAGGGGTGGCTCGTTTCCTCCATCGTGAAATGACGGAAAGCGTCGCGCGAGGAAGCGAAGTTCGAGAAAGTATCTCGCTTAAATATTCGTCGCGCGAGTAAGTCGTTGACGGATATTTATGTGTTTTCCACGGCGCCCAAGAAACAACCGCCGCCCATGCAAGAAATTTGTTTTCAACCTCTTCGGCAATCTTCAGATGTATTTTACGTTTGCTCGTAAAATTAATAACGGCCGTATTACCGACTACTTTTTACTAAACGGACTTTGGCGCTGATTTCTTAACTTGTTTAATCTTTTGAAACACATTTTTTTTTTCATGATTAATAAAAATATACAAATTAATTCTAGTTTATTAAATTCAATAAATCAGATTTGATTGCATTTTTCAAACTTGTTTGAAGATTTAGAGATATTTCTCTAACGCGAGTTGACGCTAAATACTTTTTTTTCAGAAAGAGGGCAAAGTTCATCTTATTTTATTTGTCAAATGTATGTAAAAATCGATCGTGCTGATGTCCGTTTCGTTCTTGTTACAGATGTTTCATGCAACGGCAATAAGAAGCGACCGGTCGATTATACTCGCAAGCGGCATTTATCTTCCCAGGGATCGATAAAAGGGTGAGTGTGCGAATTATCGAGTTGATTGGATCTCGTTGCTGCCGAGAAAGAGAGAGAGAGAAAAAAAGACGGTCTCGCGATGAGCCCATTCCTTGTCTTCATCTGCATTGGTTTTTTATTAACGGCGCCCCATCGAGATATCTCTCAAAAACCATTTCGCGTCAATGAACGCCGTCGTTGTCCGTAATAAAGCGATATCTGTCCCGGCGACAATCCGTGAAATAACGTTTCACGCGACTCTTCCGGCGCACTGGAAAGCGGCGTCTCTCGCCGCAGCTGTACGCTTTATAAATTAGGAATTTCCACGGTAGAAATGTACCGTTTAATTCGCCGTGTACTCGCTACAATATTGCGCGTGCATCGTATACGCGGTTTTACTTACACGCGGTCTTTCCGTATTTCCTCATCCTATCGCCTCATTTGAAATCGTTAGTGTCGGCGCATAAAATGCGGTATCACATCCCTACGACTCCCTTATGTACTCTCTTAATCTCTCTTTCGCCCTTATCAGAGCCGCATACTTAATGCACTTAGAAACCGAGGTTCGTATTCATAACTCGCTGTTAGCGCTGATAGTAGTGCCGTGCAGGCCACGTAAAAAGCATTAGAAGGTCGAGAGCGGTATTAAAAGTCAGTTTCGAGTTGGCGATGTAAGAAAATATACCGGGCGTATTACCTGCGAGCCGAGCATGAGCCGGGCGCAGCGTAGATCTGTTTCTCGATAGAAAAACACCTACACTTATCGCGACATCAGAAATAGGCAGCTCCTTTGTCGATTATGCTTAACGAAAACGATCGTGCGGCTGAGTTTGAATTTAATAAAAAAGTGCAAGAAATTATCAACAACGATGAAAAATAGGTAATTTCAAAGTACAAAGTATATTGGAAGAAAAATGTGTAACAATCGTACAGCTGTTCCCATTCACAGTATTATTTTTCCACCTTGCGCTTTGTGCTTTAAATGGTTGCTCTGTGACTTTGTAAAATCTTTGGAAAAATTACAGTACACTAATGAGACGTCCGACGCTCAGCTATCGATCCAAACGATGTAGGACGCTTTTTTAAATATTTGAATATTTTATTAAAATACTTGAACAAATATATTTTCCAGAAGCAAAATTGATCAGCTCCATAAAATAAAGCTTAAAGAAGAATATAAAAATTTACAACAAGTGGAGAATTAATTAGTTTGACTTTTAAGAGGCTCCAGTGTAAGGCAGAAAATCTGTCAAATTAAAAGATGTAAGATAATCCGACAAGGATAAGACAATGGGTAACGAAATACGACGATGGACCACACGGGGGTGGGTTTGCTTTTCGATACTTTCCATTATCGTAGATGAGAGTATCGTCTCTCGCGTAAATGGCAACGTATCCCTAACGTATCTCGCGGAAGATCGGAAGGCTGAGGCGAACGGCAAAGTTCAAAGTTGTCGAAGTTTCCGAATTTAGTAGCCGCGTGCCTGTCGCGATATTACGTACGGAATTATGTGCGGTGGCGGTGTGACGGCGGTGCGGCAGGTTGTATCGACCCGCAAGCAGTGTATCGGACTTTTGAGGCAAAACGACACGTCCGAGCGGTTTCTTCTTCCGCGAAAACTCTCGGCAACTTGGGCGGCCGCCTAATATCTGACGCACGGTCAACTTAAAACCGATAGCGCCGTATCTCGCTACGGATACGGGAGGAGCCGCCACGGTAATGTTGTGGTAGCACGAGGAGGAAAATCGCGTTGCCGCCCCCGTCGTTACCACATTTTGTACTTAACTGTATCTAGAGCCGCGCGGCCCCGATTCTAAGCTCGTGCGACGAGCCCCGCTAGCGGCTGGTAGCTCGCTTTCGTGTTTCAACGGTGTTCTAGAAAAGAAGGGGGAAAAAAAATAGGGGAAAGAGGTTGAAACGCGGAAAGAAGATAAAGCCCACGCTAATCGATTTGTTGCACTTAAGCCCGCGGTCCTTGGCCGCATAAATAAGGCGTCTCGCGTCTCTGCCCTCCTCTTGCCCGTCCGCTCGCACCGGCGCGCCGCAATATTATCCGAACGCTACTTGGGTCCCTTACGAGACGCGGCGCCGCGTGCGTGCAGCCGTGTGCGGTGGAAAAAAGATTGCGGCCCGGTAAACGGAACTTCATACCCGACAATATCAATTTCAAAGTTCGCAAACTTCGTCGCCGCATCGCCGAGCGTCTCGCGGGCGAGCGTACCTCGACTTAAAACTGATAGCTTCATATCCCGGCGGGCGTGCGGATGCGATAAGAAGGCTGCGAAAGGGTCGCGCAACCGGCGGCGGCCCTTTAAACGTTTGCTCGCGCGCGCGCGCGCTCGATATTAATGCCCGTTTCCACGACTTCGGCGTTACCCGCCGGCGAGATCGCCATAATTTCGCAAAATTGGTCGCCGCGGGACGTTTATAATGCGAGGCGGCACGTAACCCGAGCCACCCTGTGTATCTTCGAGCTACATACCGCGGCGGCCGCGAGCCGCGATGAAGTTATAATGATTAAAAGGTGACGACTTGATTGTGCGCGCCGCGCGACATAATAGCTCTCACTGCGAGTAATTGCGAAATCGGAAATCGCGTACGCGTTTCACCGATCGCGCTTTGCGATCTCATTGCTTTTATCTCTATCTATTCAGCCGTGATTTTCTCGCGTAACAATACGCATGCCTTGCGCGAATGTATTATTGGCAAATATTCGCAGATATTATTGCAGCTTGCTTGTGTGCGCATAAAGGGTTATGTGCGCGTGTAAACGGTTATGTGATATGAGTATATGCATACAAGATGGGCGTATCGACAAGTGCATTAATATCTAATTTCTAACGTAATACTCAATTAAAAGTTATACGAACATTTTGGATCTAATCTTGAATAATTGCGCAATTGCACAATGTTCATGAATTTCTAGAGGCATGTGTGTACTATTGCGCGCATCTTACTTTATAAATCAAAATTTGATTTCTTTAATTTTTTTACATTGTTTATAATTTTTTTTTTTTTAATGTAATATTTCCAACACGTGACAGATGAGACTTTGATTAATATATTTAATACATTATTTTGCATCTCGGCGTTATGTAAAAGGTGTAACGAAAACATCTTGTATGATAAATATTATTGCATGACAGACCAAATTGAAATGAAACGAGTTTGATGAATGGATGAAATTAAATCAGCATAATTATGACACGTTTGTTCAAAATATCCACGTATTTCATATTAATTTCGATTGAAAAGTGGTACAGGATGCCGCAGTTTGCATAATGATATTCTGTATTTATTGCTAAACTTAAACCAAGCAGAATTTAAGTAAATAATTGGAGTTCAAATTATATTAGAATAGCAAATACAAAGATGACAGATCCAAAAGATTCAAATTTTAATCTAAAATTAAATTATTAGATGTTGAAGAACTAAATGATTGAATTTTAAAGAATTAGAAAATCTAATTTTATTATTAATGAAAAAAAAGTCAAATCAACACGACAGAAACTAAAAAGGTATCTTATAAAATGCATCATTACACTTAAGAATTAAGTTGATTTATTGTTTCGCACGACAGTGGTAGAAATAATGAAAAGAATAACGGCAATAATTCATGATAAAATATTATTGAACGATAATGCTACTTTTAAACCGGCAAATTGCGTTTGACAAGTTTGCCAGTTCAGACGCGTCTTGAATTTAAGGTGAGCTAGACGATATTCACGGTTCGAGAGTCAAGACAATGGCCCCGGAAATTTAATTTGAAGTTTGTGACTAGCGCATTAAACGAAATATGTCAAATGTAATTTAATTTGTGAAATGCTCCTCTGGTGCGTAATAACAAGTACGTTACTGAAATGGAAAAGATACTCGCGACTTTTATATCAACGTCGACGATCTTAACGTTATCCCCGCATCGATAAAAGTGTCGTATGAAGCAATAAACGTATCAGATATATACCTATTTGCGCCTTTGTACAAATATGATGGTTTATTAACTGCATTTTCTTGAAAAATCCAGTCAATTTTGTAAAAACCGATAAAAACAGAATAATGTTTTAAAGAAATCATGTAATATTAACGGCGCGTTTTTGCAGCTGCAAAATTTGCATAATTTCCTATGCTTCCATATTATTAAGTCTAACTTAACTCGAGTATCTTGCATGAAATAGATTTCCAAGTGTGATTTGTATTGCCCTCGAGCTCACATTTCCATAAATAGCAAATCGAAAATTTAAAAGAGGATATATATATGATGCTGTTTAACGATGCTAAACTTCTAAAATTTAAATTATTATTTCCGAAATGACGTAGGAAGGATATATGAATTTGTGTGTCCAAAACGATTATGCAGAAAGCATATAAATGGCATCAAGCTTGAAATTTATGTAATGCTGCATATTATTAAACCTAGATGTACAAAATAATTACAAGAATATCCGAAAATTACAGGACATCAAATTATACGGTAACAATTCATGGCGTCAACTGTCCTATTTTTGGCTTTTCATCGTTTCACACCCTTTGTGAATCTCGTTAATCGAATCTCATTGTCTCACGATAAAATAAGTTATTTGAACACAATTTTAGTAACTCTATGAATTTTAGTAGAATTATCGATTCTCTAATATTAAAGATATAATAACATTAATTAAGCGCGGAAAAATATGTTAGCGCATCGAATGAAATTACGAAATCGCGCGGAAATTCTCGAAATCCTTCGTACCGTAGCATCTTCCGCCGCGATAAATATTTCAGACCGATGCCTCTGCGTTTCCGTCAGCACGGCAAAGAGCAGAAATAAAGCCGCGCAACATTCTTTCGTCTCTTAGATCGGCGCGCGCCTAACGAAAAAGTGAGTTTTAGGGCGCACTGGTTACGTACATTTTTAACGAGGCTCCGGCGCAACTCTTCGAGATGCGATGCCTCTTGGCCGGAACTTTCAAGCCGCTCACGTCTCGGAACCGGTTAGATCACACGGTGAAGATCTTGAGGTGGCCTCTTTTCGGTTGCTGCA